TTTATATATTTTTTTTAAAATGAATTCAAGTCTTATGAGATTAAACAGATGAAAATTTTATTACCTTTTTCCAGCAAAGAAAATAAAGTTTGCACTTTAAACTTTAATTCTGTTATAAATATTTTGAGTTAACTTTCTTTTGGTATGATTTATAATGGTGACAGACAGAAGAATACTTAATCGAGTTTCATTATTTTGTGAGATAACTTTCTATCTGATGATAAAATATTGTAGATGTGTATTCAGAGATTACATTGTTTGATGATATTTTTATGGAAGCCATTTTAATTTAATTATATTAATAGGTTGACTTAAAAACTATTTTCCAATTTCCAAATATAATCATTTGTTGGTCCTTCAATTGTCTGTTTAGAATATTCTTAAGAATTCTTTAATTAATAAAAATCCAAACTAAAAAAGATGAAATTTGTTATAAATTTAATTCTAGAATTCATTTCCTGACTTTCACTATGATTAGTTTAACAAAATATTTTCTTTTAAATGTGAATTTTAAATCATTTTGTTAGTTTTTCAAATGAATTTTCTTCTTCTACTCGTCCTTTTCCTATCTCTTCTTATCTTTCTTCTACTCATCCTTGTTTTTAATCTGTTCTCTTCCTATCTCTTTTCTTCATCTTTCACTTCTGTCTCTTCTTATCCTTCTATTTCTCTTTCTCCAATAATTCTCCTTTACAAGAAAATGGGATTTTGCTAATTAAAATTCATAGAATAAATGTTTAATTTTATATATAAATTATTAATTTATAAAATATTTATTTGAGACTTTTTTGTTAATGTAATAAAATATAATTTTGTATTTTCTCTGCCTCTTTTTCCTCTTCTTACGCATTCATTAAAATTTACTTATATGCTTTTGATATTTTCTTTTCTTAATTCTTGTATGAAAGTTGTTTTTAAAAATATATTTACATAAATTTTAAACCAGGATTATTTATAATATCGATGGCACGCTTATCTGACCTGTTCTGACCTTATTTCTACTGGTATTACAATTCATTTTTCCTTTTTTTATTTTCTGTTAAATTGATATTCCAAAAATATAAAATATTGATTATTCATAAAAATGTATAATTTAATATAGCTGTGTAATAAAATTTTACGTCAATCATTCATTCAACTCTAGACAAATGTGGCTTCGATTGCTAAATCTCATTTCTCAATTTGACATATGACTGAGCCATCTCCTTAGATTTTTGCAGAGTTTGAAGGATTGATACAAAATAGAATTCTTGTTATTAAGAAACATAAAATGAGAAATTGCTTGTAAATTTATACAATTAAGTTTTCAATCTTTTTACTTATTTAAAAATTAAGATTTTATAAAGATTTGTTCATTTGATGCATGTAAATTTTAACTGAAATCAGTAAGAAAAGAATGTTGATTTATTATATTTAGTAAGAATGTATATTTTTAAAGAAATAAATTGAAGCTTTTATGTATGCAAATCATACTTTGTAATGTTATAAAAACATTACAAAGTATGATTTATACCATTTTACAGACATTTCAATTTATAACATCAGTAATAAAGAATAAACAAAAAAACATACAAAGTAAAAAAATCTAAATATGCACCCATTACAAAATACTCCCATTATTGATATTTGTGGGAAGATAAAACTAAACCGAGATATTTATAAGCTAGATAAATGATTCTTGTAATAGAAATTTCTGGTTGTTCACATAATAGGCATGTAACTTTGAAAATTTGGGTAAATTGGAATGTCATTTTCTTCAAATGACACTAAGAAATGACATCTTTAACTTAAAATTGTTTTTTTAAACGTGAAATATAAACAAATTCATTATTTATCCTAAAGAACTTGTGTTAGTTTTAATTTTAGAAGACAAATAATAAAATATGTAATTGAGTTTGCAATTCTGAAATGTCATTTCATTTTTATAGATGATGTTTATTGAATTTTGTTAATGTTTTGCTTTAAGACTTGTATTTTATGTACTTTGTTTCAATGGAATTGCCAAATGTAGACATTAGTTGTTTAATCAGGACGGGATCAAAAAACTTTAATATTTCTCTTGAACAACAGGTGTGAATCACAACATATTCTAAAGCTTCTTCATTATTTACTTAATATAGAAATGATAGAAATGCAAGACTTTCAAGGTGGTTAAAACTAGCATTGATTACAAGTGGGTGTCAAAAGTGGGAGACATTAGAATCAGGAAAACAAAGTTTTTTTTTATAATTATCTAGTTGTGTGCATAATGATTTTAAAACCTTAACTAAATAATTTAGCCAGTTTACAAATGAATGAGTAAATTAAATTCCAAGAGATCTGCACAAAATATTTTCTAAAATACTTTTTAAATTTCATCATAAAAATGAGTTTCTGCAGTGAGAAAATTAGGTTGTTATAAAGTTGAATAATTATTTTGTTAAAAAAATATAATTCTTGTTTTTCTTACAATTCTAATAATCTAAAATAAAGCTTTAAATTCTTGTTTGCACGTAAGGTATTCATCAATGTGTTAAGTAATGAAAATATCGTGTCGGGTGTTATTACTTATCCCGAGTGGATTTGTATTATGCATGTTGCTTTCTTCCTCCTCTTTATCTTTGGATATTAAATTTTTATTGGCTAGAGACAATATTCTTAAGTAGTGTTTAGTTTTCTTTTTAGTTTCTTTTCCCAAAAGGATACTTTCCTTCTTTTATATTTCTGAATTTAATATTTAAACTATTACAATTTTATTTATTTTTACTTAAAATGAAATTCTGATGTGTGATGATAAAAAAAAAATTTATTTGCTTTAAATGTCATTTAACAGGATACTGGATACTAGAATTTAGATATATATATTTATGTATAATCTAGGATTCAAATAGACTAGAATATGACCAGTAATCTAGGATATGACTCATACATTTCAGTTCTAAGATGGCAATAGATGTTCAATCAGAAATTTATTAGTATTTTAGAAATTTATTTATAAGAAGTATCAGATTTACAGTTGCAGTATTCATAATAATGTAGGATATAAATTAATATTGGATTTATAACAATAAATATATTTTAAATTATATACATATCAATTTAAATCATATATATATATCAATATTACATATCAACTAAAGCTAGGTGATCTAAGTAGTAAATATCATATAAATAGTTACAAAAATCATAATTTATGAGTTATACAGATATAAACTTCTACGAAAACCCAATGCTTAGCAAATAGACACCCATGATTTGATGTAAATAATTGGGCTATAATTTGGAAATATTAATTATGAATTAGAAATAAATTTTGCACTAGATGTAAGCATTAGATGCCATCTCATATTAAATCTATAGTTATAATATTTAATTAATTAATTAATTTAGAATAAACTGGAAGAAAAGAATCGGCCCAAAGTGGGACTTGAATCTGTAACTCCCGCTTACTGTGCAACTCCCGCTTACACATTGCCAGTTACACTACCCGGACCTTTGGTCCAATCTCCTCTTATAGCCCAATTATTTACAGCAATCATGGTTGTCTATTATATGAATTAACTTACAATTTGTATGATGTTTTTGTGCCTAGATGTCCCAGCTCTAACTATAACATGGAAATTAATCTTTTTAACATGAGCTGATTTAAATGTATAGTATTTGTACTCTTATATACAGTATAATGTAATACTTGAATGTATGGGACAACAATTATAAATCCTGTTTTATCTATTAAAATAAAAAGAAAAATTGACTCCTGCATTATGATAAATACTAAACATTCAATTCTGATGTTAATCATAATATAGGAATGTAAAATAAAATTAAAATATATAGTTTTTGTAGCAGCAAATTTGGATTTTTAAGGTATATGAGTCATGTTTTTAATATACAAAATTCTTAACACAGGGATCAGATGACTTTTATATTATGAATCCTATATGCTTGATTCCTATATTATTTCTCAAGAATATGACTTCTACATTTGAGTCAAATGTGTAAATGTGTGTGTATTATATACAAACCAGAATGTAAAATATATATGAAGGATTCAAATGCATTTCTTTTGTACTATAATTTTTAGAAATATTTGTGTAATTAGTTTTGAATATTTGCAGTAAATATAATAAATACAAAATAACTCGATTTTAATTTCTAATACCAAACAAACGACCAGGTTCTTTATCTATAAGGCTAAATATTTTAATTTTAGAATATTCTGGAAGAAAAGATTGGCTCGGAATTGGACTTGAATTTATAAATCTGATTATTTGTTTGGTATTTACAGTAAATTAATTGATTTTATATTCAAAATTATTATAAATCTTAAATTTTTAATTTTTGAATTTTAATTAGAATTAATTGAGGATTATCTTTGATCTTGGTACGAAAACAAATACAGTACAGTTCTAAATTATTAAACAAATTTTTTTTTTTTTTTTAAGATAAGAAATAATTTATTTAATTAAAATTAAAAAGGTATCTGTAGAATTTTTATTAATTAAAAATGAAAATATGGAATATTTTCATAACATAATTATTTTCTGAACCAAGTATTTTTTTCTGTTTTAAAAAATTGTTACATGCATATTCTTAGTACAGTAATTAATGCAAATTTTAAAAACTTAATTATCCGTGAAGCTAAATTTATAAGTTTGATAATTAAATATTTAATTAATATTTTTTTTACCTCCTGCTAAAATTTAAAAATTAAAATGTCACACTTTTTTTAATGGTAATTAGAATTACTTTATAAATAAACAAATTAATTTTATACATTTTTAAGTAGAAAATGTTTAATGTGTTTCCTCGTTACAGTAAAGAGAGATTTTGGATTATAATTTTGCTGAAAATTAAATCTTGGCTTGTACGCAACTAGAAGAAAATCCATTCTTAATGTGATAGACATTTTAATTGTATAAAAAAGTACATTTTGAATTATTGCATAATGGGAAATTGTATCCGCAATTATTTTTATTTTTTGTTGTTATATAATTACGGTAATTTAAAGAGAAAAAATTGCATTGTATGAACAAGATAATTTCATTTTGAGTAATGTCCATTGCCAGAAAATAATAGAAAGACATTGTAAAGTTGATTTGTATGTAGATGGGGATAGAGATTGCCGTGTGAGAAAACAATTATCTACCTAATAAAAAAGCACGTCTGGTTGTTGACCCGTTTAGCATTCTTGTCTTCAAACATATTAATTGGTTGCCAAATAAAATAGCAAATTGTACACTCAATTAATTTCTTGTTACTGTAATTGTATTCTGGTCTAAGAGTTAAGTAATATAACACACAACTCTTATAAAGTAATGAAATACTTATTTGTGCTGTAATTTCATAATAGTCAGCATCTCAATTACATAAATGAACAGTGTGTGACTGCTTTAAATTTTAATAATGACTTTATGTGTATATGGCAGAAGATTTAAGAGTAATGCTGCTTTTTTTTTTTATTGTGGTGATGATAAAGATGAGTTATTAAACAAATGTATTTTTATAGATCGGCTGTACCTTGCTACAATTTCAGAATCAACCAAGCCGAAGATAACGTCCACAGTTCATTTCTTTTCAATAGATGAAGAACTTGTTTATGAAAGGTAAACCAACTTTCTGGAATAAAAAAAAAATTATTAATATTATAGAATTCTATTTATACCTATTTAAATAATACAGCATTCAAATGAGGCCGGCTGTTAGTTTTAAGCAGGCGGAAGCTGTCAAAAATAGCAGATTAAAATACTTATAAAAACTGTTTACAGCCCAAACTGTAATAGTAGTAATTAAATACAAATAACAATTTTATGTAAATATTTTGATATTTTCTGAATAATTTTTCACTTTTCAGCTTCTATGCAGATTTTGGTCCTTTAAATCTGGCCATGATATATCGATACTGTTGTAAATTAAACAAGAAGTTAAAGGTAAATACAGTTTGTTCTTACTTTTCTACCCTTTAATTATATTTAACCTTAATAAAAATATTTCCTGAACTTGTAAATCAAGTTATTCTCAACTTATATAAAAATAGAGATAAGGGAAAGAAATGAGTTCGAGAAAAGTACGGTGGAAATAGCTTTATTTCTTCTTTATTTTTTATGTACCAACCTTAAAGTAAACGTCATTAATATATATTTATGACAGCCACATCTTTGGATTAGAAATTTTCAATAATTTATTTCAGATAGACTTTGAGGAATGGGTATCAAAAGGGAATTTATTATATAGATTTTTTTTTTTGAATATTTTTAGATAAATAATGGAGGAACTTGGCTGAATATAAAACACCTTACATATTTACTTAAACATATTTACTTTTCCTCTCCTCCTCTCTTAATCTGGTTTATATTCAACTTTAAAATTTTTATTTATTTTAATTTTTATAACTACTCCAAGTCTCTCTGCATATTTGATGGGTTTTAGGATCTTTTCTTGACCTTAAAAAAATTATGGAAACTGAAAACAGGTAGCATTTATTGATGTTTATGGATGTGTATTTGGCAGTTATTTTTTCTTACAGATTATGTAAACACCCATAACTCTTTCTACATTTTTTGGAGTGTGAATGTCAATAGCTTTGACCTTGAGGAAAAAAGGAAGGGGAGAAGAACGGGGGAAAACAGGTTTAAATAACTTGCGTAATCTGTTACTTTTCACAGTTCAGCCAATAGTTGGAGATATTCCAAATTTTTTGGTGAAAAAAAAGGAAGTAAACTCTAAAATATTTCAACTTTTTCTTTTTGTATTAAATTATCTGAAATTTCTCTTTTGTTAAATCAATGTTTTTTGTTTTTAACCAGTTGAAAATTATTATGTATTATGTTTTTTATAAATTCTGTATAAAGCTATCAAAATAACAGGTCAAACATTAATTTTTTTCAGATTTTTCATTGTAAATCATCCATCTACTTCTGATTAACATTGCCTGCTCCAGCTCTGACAAAAATTGGGTCATTCGAGTCGTTAACTCGATATAAATGATTAGATTTACTTTTTTTTTTTTTAATTTGTAATTCTTTTGAGGCCGGTGCACTTTGGGAAAAGTAAGTTTTCATACGTTCTATGTGGCATTTTATCCAAGTTCAAAACCGTTTCGGGACATATCTGTAGGAATTTATGCCCTGAAACTAGGTTATTTTCTCTTAATGATCTCCGTATACCGAAAATTAATTACTGTAGTTCTATTACTGATGATAACGGGAATTCCTTCTGAAAATATTTCTGTTGGTGTTCGTTAAGTTTTCAAACTATTCCAGATTTATGCCCGATCGCCTAACGTATCGGTATGTCGCTTCGCGCCGTCGATCGAAACGATGAACTATGTTCGTTGTATTAATTTAGAAGTTTCCAGGCGAAAAATCGATTCTCGAAACGCTTTACGAACAATTTTCTATTTGAATTTTATTAATTTTTTATTTTTAATGTTAAAAAAAAACTTCAATCTAGTCATTCGTTTCATCACGAAATTTAAATTACTGTAATACGATGTCGATTGTTTATAACGGAAATTCATTAATTTTAAATTGTTATTATTATTATAAACATTTAAAATTAAATTTAATGGTAACTCAATTTAAATCCGAAATTATTAATAAACTGGTAAGAAAAATTTTTAAAGGTTTCTTGAGGCTATATTATCGATTTTTAATAAATTCTGGGCGTTCTAGCTTCATCGGAAGTCTAAATGACCCTAATATGTAGGCATTGAAAATTGTAATTAAAATCCATTAATTTGAAATTATTATGTAAAATGAATGTGTATTTGATGAGTAAAAAGCATTTTCTCGACTAAATTTTGAATATAAACCGATAAAAATTTTCATGATATTTTAAATTTCTGGAAAGGGAATGAACCCTAGTTGAAAGTCAATAGGAATTACTCTAAATAAACCTAATTCGGTCGGGGGGACTATCGTAGAATTAAAAAACGGGAGGAAATCAACATTATTGCTTAAAACGCGAAGGTATATCCGATTTGAAAGAGTAATTATGATAATATTGTAAAGGTAGTTTCATGAAAAGTTGTACAGATTTCCGCAATTCGAACAACCACACCCGAATTGACGTCAAGCTGAGAGCGGGAGAGATTCACTTCGATTAACTTCCCTCTTTTTCTTCTCTAATCGAATTCTGTATATATATAAAGCGTTGCGTTAATTATCGTTAACGATTGTTTTTAAACACAGAAGAAGGGGAGCGAGTTGTAAATCAATCCGTTCAAGCGTAAAAATATAATTAACTTAATTTTTCTGAAATCAAAAGTTAAGTTCTACTTGTCGCAGGCCGACTAAAAAAAAATTTCTTTGGTTTATTTCTGGAATAATAATTAAGCATTTAATTAATGATGAATGCATTATTGCTGGTTCTTGAGATTTTAAAGTTCGTTTCAGATAACTGTAAGAAATTGGTTGAGTAAAGCGGCTTTCATACAGCTGGATAAGCCAACCAATGATATAGTTCGTTTCAAATGAAAACGGGCTATGATTTGTTTGCTTATTCAGCTACGTTAAATCTGAATTACTAAGCAACTCGTCCATTGGTTTGCATCATCAAATGATTTGGGTTCGAATTCAATTTACATTTTCAAATTTAGATGTTTATGTGGATACTAAACTGGCTTTTTTTTAAATTTTTTTTTGCTATTATCTATTAATTTTTTTTTCTTTGTCAGCTTTTGTATTTTTTTTTTTACTGTTACTGTAAAATTTAACGATAAAATTAAATATAAAATTAGAAAGGAATAAGTAATTAAAAGTTTAATTTGGATGATTTAACAGATTTTTAATGGGTTTATTATAAAAAAAGATAAAGTTTTCGACCTCGGTGGAGGTGGAAAACGTTAGTGGATATTGTAACGAACACAACACTGATATATAAAGGTTTTTATGGACAGTTAAAAAAAAGGTATGTGAAAATGCTGGTTTTTGTGTGTTTATTTGCATATTTTAAATTTATATTAATTAACTGATGTAACGAAGCATGAATTTGCTTGGGTGCAAATTTTATACCATTCTTAATGCATAGATTGCTTCAGCAATTTATAAAAACAATCAAATTTAGTAGAAACCACTTATAAATTCTATCGGACTTGCTTATAGGGATCCTAATACTGACCGATAACATTAAGAGGATTAGTCTATGAATCGGAATTTCTGGTTTTGGTCAATTGACACCAAAAGGACATTTTGGAACAATTAGCAAATGTGAATTAAATCATTTAGTGTTAGTTAGTTTTTTTTTTTAAATACTATCTTTTGACAATGATCAAAGTAAGTAATTCTAGCAATTTAAACTACTGTACTGCAAGAACGAAATGAATAAATTATTAAATGTGGAAAACACTGGATCTTGGTAATTGATAATGATTGTGCACTATTGGCAATGTGTTGAAACTGATGTGAAAAGATAGAGTAAACATGCTTATTTGCTTGAAAGTTACAATGATTATAATAAAAATTTCCAATTGCAATAAGCATAGTTTTGTAAGTGCATTTTAACTTGTATATTTTTGGACTTACTAATTCTGATAAAATTTACAAGATGTAGATTCTGTTGTATTCTATTCTGTAATCTAGTTTGTACCAAAGAAAAATATATGAAAATTACTGTTGTCAGGAGAAATTTGTTTGTTTTTTTTTTCCATTTAAAATTTTATGCATTATACACATCAAGAGATCTTTTTTTAGCAAGCCCATTATGGATTTGGCCTGGCCCAGAATGGTGAGGTTCAAGGTCAGTCCTATCTGGACAGATTGCCCTGAAAAGTCATGGTTATTTAACCCAGGGTCCACCAGAGCCAGTTAGATTGCTAACTTAACTGCACAACCAACTGGCCATCCACAGGATAAGTTAATGATCTTGTGTAGATTTAATGCTGTATTGTAAGATCATTTAGATTTCATTTGTCAGAATAATTCATTTTGAGAATAATGAATTTCATTTTGAGAATAATTTAATGTCTCTGAATAAATGTACTGCAGTCCAACTTTGTTTTGGCAACTTTTGATAATTACAAAATGTAGATGTCAGTCATTTCCATGCCAACAGGACAAGTACTTAATTGCACAGAGCTATGATGAACTTTACAGTTTTACACTAAATTTATTTTATAAATGGCTAGATCATATGTATGAGTTTCTTATTAACACACCAAACAGTCAAGGACAAATACTCTAAATGTAACTACAAGGTTACTATTTCTGAAATAACCAAATACTTAAAAAATCTTCCACTCTCAAAAGAGAGGAGCCAAATAGTTTTTTATGCACTTTAATTGAACCATAATAAAATTTAAATATTATTTAGAACATTAACTTTTTCCCTTTTGTAATTTAGTCATTTTGACTAATGCAGGGAAACATTGAAAATTCAAACTAATTGGGGTTGGACAATATCCAGATTTTCAACTATGAAAGTGTAAATTAGCATTTTAAGCACTGTAAACACCAAATATACTATAAAGAAAGTTTAGATGTTCTAAGTTGAATCCAATATTTCACAATAAATGTAGGAATTCTTCAAGGATTTAAAATATAATTTACAGAATTGCTATATTTAAACACAAAATACACTACTAATAATTTCAAAATTAAAAAACAATACAAGAATGAAAGAATGTCAACAATGAAGTTAGTATTGAAAGGGGTTAATATCCATTTTTTGATAGCCGAATCCAGGTTTATGATATCTGGATTTTTGGCGCTTCATGTAGTTGCATAATTATTTACAATATACAGTATATATATGCATCAACATATATTTTGCACTTATAAAGATAATTGACAGATACTTAAAACTAGCAGTACATAAGAATTTCTTCAAAGATCTACCAATTTTAGAATGAAATAATTGTTTTTGCTCATTATATAAGCTTATTTTTATGGAAGAGAGAGAGAAATTAAAACAAACTTGGTGTGTTTTTCTCCTGCTCTATATATGCACAGAGGATTTTTTTTAAATCATGTTTATCACGGTTTTGACCCAATCCACAATGGGTGCAGCCAGGTAATAAGGGACCTGTCCGAGTTAACTCACCTGTGAAAATTTCTGATTCACAGCCAAAGGTCGAAAGTTAGAAGTTAACCAATTACTGTTTATGTACTAAAAGTAAAATAAATGTTTTAATGGTTAACTTTAATTAACTAATTGGTTGTATGAACATAGATATTAGATTCAAACCAGGGTCCTTAAACAGACAAGCTGATACCTTTTCTGATCATCTAGTTGTGAAATTTCAAGATTTTGACTAGTAGTTTCATGTGTTTTATATATGTATTTTCTTTATTTAAATATGTATATTTGATGTGCCATTTTTTTTTCTTTTCAGTCTCACTGTTTAGCTAAAAAGGTTATTGTTCATTACACAACTAATGACAGTAAGAAAAGAGCAAATTCAGCTTTTCTCATTGGTTCTTATGCAGTAAGTAACATTTTTTTCAATATATGTCAAATAATAAATGTTTATATTGTTATATAATTTGCTTTATATTGCAGCTATAATGTAAAGAAAGGAAATTTAGTTTAAACTTATTTATTCCTAAAAAATGCAGAAAAATAATCGATGAGATAAACTTCAAGTCCTTTAAAAGTAATAAAAACCAAACTGCTTTTTTTGTATTCACTTTTATTTACAAATACTTTAGCATAATAAATAATATAAACTTTTTGTCTTCCTGATTTTTAGTAGCCAGAAAAATTTATTTTTTAAATTTTAAGTCGGACTTTTTGTTAAATATGTCATTTGAAGTGACACGAATTCAATCTCAAAGTTTATTAAGAAAATTCAATCAACAGTGGAAGACTATTAATAATGTTGTTGTACCCTACATTAGCGTAGTGAGTTGTTGACTCCACCCGAAACTTTTGGGTCACGCCCATTGCTATCGAAGACGTTACCGACTCCACCCAATTTTGCTTTTCTTCAGCATCTCTGTCTAATTTCTCTTCGTTATTATTTGGACTTTTGACAAGATAATAGTTGTTTTTAAATTTTAATTACATTAAGGAATAGCCAAACACAATATCAGAAGTCAAACTGAGGCAATATCATCAAATATATTATTATATCTTCTTATAATTGTCAAAGTTTGATTATTGCATCTAATGCACTTCTGCTTGATCTACAAAGATGTATGTAACTTTTAGAAGTTTGCCGAAATACTTAAATAGAATTAAATCCTTAAAGTAACATGTGGCTCTGTAGTTTACTTAGTATTTTTGAGGAACAAATCTATTTACCTTCAGAATAGTCTAAAATTTTTATTTAAAAATTTTCTACTTTTGATTAGTTTTTACTCAGATTGTTAAGATATGAAATTATGTGCTTCTTGAAAGTGCTCTATAAATTAAATCTTAAAGCTGTGTTCAAACACTCTTCTACATTACATGTTGCATTATGTCTGTCCAATCAATGAAGGCATTACAAATAACATTTTCTTTGATTGGCCAGACATAACACAACATAATGCAAGAAAAGTCTGTCTGAATGTAACCTTAAGACATCAGGAGAAAGGTATTTGTTATTTTCAAGGAATAATTGGCTTTAAATTTTTAAATTATAGTAGAGTATCTTTCTTGGTTTGTGTATGGGAATGCATGTTTGGAAACATTATAGTGCATATTAGGCTGGCAACTCATCTTTAGCTGGGTCTTTTTCTCTTGGTCCATTATGTTAACATTTCTTTTCTGTGATTTACCACAAAAATTTGACACTTAGCTTCATTTTAAGTCAGTTGAGGTGCTTTCAGCAAAAGGAGGCTTTCTTTCCTTGTGTTAAAGAAAAGGATTTCTGTGATTGAACAAAACTGGAAAATTTGTGACAATAATTGGCAAAGGAATTTAAATTTGGGAAGACCCAAATTTAAATTCCTTTGCCAAATTTAAATTCCATCCCAGCCATTTCTTGCCATTAAGTCATCATTCACTTTATATCAGTAAATGGGAATCAGACACATTATGTATCAGATATTTCATATGAAACTGAGCAAGTAATGATGTTAACTATGTAAGATGTGCAAGAATTTTCCCTCAGATGATAGATAAACATTAATGCTTAAAGACAGTTCAGTTTATTCTTAAAGTTGTTTACTTGCAAAGTTTTTATTTGAAATGTCACTAGTTTGGTTATAGTTTGGTTTATTCTTTGGTTATAGTTTATTCTTTTGGTTTGGTTTATTCTTTGGTTATAGTTTGGTTTATTCTAAGTTTGGTGTTGAAAAAGAACATATTTTTATTGAAAGGTAACATGTTTTTGTCCCTAGATAAATGACAAAATAAAGATTATTAGTTGTCATTCTGGCTAGTTTTTTCCATCCCTCTTATGCTTCCAATATGCAAACATTTTTGCAATTACAACTAAAAGGAAAAGCAAGTTAATGTTAAATTAGACGTTTAAACTCTACTTTACATTCTCTTCAACGTATTCCGACTGGATGCAACAACATCTGAAAACATTCATACTGCTGGTAAATGCTTATTTGGAGATTTTTGTACAAATTAATGTAAATAAAAAATGTTGGATGAGTGAATTGATTCTTAAATTGACCAAATGTACTTAAAACTTAAAAATTCTTTACCTAATTTAATAATTAAATCTTAAATCTTGCAATAAACTTACAGAATATTATTTTGTGTATATAAGATGAAGTGCATTAGACAAAATAACCAGCAAACTTTGATGTTCATTATAAAAGGAAAAAAATTTCTTCTACTGTAATTCATATTAAAATTTTAATGAATTTTATATATTCTATATTTTAACAATGTTGATTTGACTTTGAGCCAAGTACAATAGATCTAATTTTCGAGATAAAAACTGTTGTTAATAAATCATTTTGACTAGCATCCTATGATTTGCATTAATCCAATAGATTTGTTAATGTAATCTTATGAATAAAATACTTAAAACATCATTCATTTTTTAATTAAAAACCGTCATAAATCACTTTTCCAATAGTTTAAAGATAGTAAATATTAGGGAATTTCCAAAACTTTAAAAGTTTTTATTTTAAGTCTCTTCATTGATAGTATAGATATTGACATTATTGATTTGTCATTATTAATTAATACGAATTAATCAAAAATTAGGCATAATATAGCCTGAAGTAGTCTGATAGTTAGGCTCATTCGGTAATTAAGTTGTGTATCAATATAAGTAATTACAGTGGCTATCTTAGAAAACTAATAGAGGAACACGATGAATATTTATTAATGTAATTAATATAATTTTTTTGATTGATATTAGTTAGATTATCAGGAATATTGATGTATATCTTAAATTTTATTTATGACAAGCCCTCACTTAACATCATTGAGGAAAGATACGAGTATATTTGTAACCTTTTACAATCATCGTTGTCAAATTTTCTTCATAAATGGTAAAATTGATTGTGAGGTAGGAAATAAATGCTAGAGGATGCAACCAAAATTTAGTTAGAATAATGTTAACTGAATTATATCTTGTTTGTATCAGTCAGTCTGTGGTAAAATTAGTTTTGCTATACATCAGCATTCAAGAACCTATCAACAATGTTACACAAGGACTTGCTATATTTTTTTCCAAGTATTAACTAAAATATCTGATTCTGAAGTAAGATATTTTAAGTCTTTCAGTTCAAAGACAAATAATTGATTTATTTGAGATGAAAAACAAGGTTATAAAATTGTTTAATTTTATCCTTTGTTGAGTTAGTCAACTAAAAATCACCAACAAACACCTATGGCTGCTGAGACATTTATTTGCTAAACACTAATGTTTTCAGCCTAATGCATAGGCCATTCTCAATTGCCATAGAGTTCATCAACTTTTAAATTATACATTAGAAGCAACAGTTAAAAGTAAAGAAATTGTCTTGTTTAAATTTAATTCATTTGTGGTTACTTGCATTTCTGTAAATTTAACATAAATAATTTATTTAATCCTTTTGGATTGGAGAAATAAATTAGAGCCTATTCTCAATATTTTAAATGTCAAGAAAATAGAAATTCATCAAATTAACTGCTTAATAAATCTTAACATAAATTAAAGAGTTTCTATTAGATGAAAGTTTCTAGCCATTAATTATTTATAATCATTCATTTGTACATATGATTAAATATTTAAAAATTCGTTAATATTTTTAATAAATTATAATAAAATATAAGTAGCAAATTAATATCTTGTTTGCAAATTAATAGTTTTTTAATTGGAATAATTAGGAATGATTAACGAATGAAAAGGTTTTTGTCAAGAACAAAATAAAACCTGTTTTCATTTCATAATGTAATGTGTTTCTTTTGTTATAAATAATTAAATATTCAATATAAAATCCAGTTTTAAGAGCAGTTTGGAAGAGTTCTTCCATTTAATGATTTTATTTTATTTTTTCATAGATAACTTGTTTCCAGCATTATAAATTGATTTTAGGGAAATTTTAGGCAACTTAGGCAGCATTTTAGGGAAATTTCATACACTCTTTGCCTACTATTTACAATGTAATTAGAAAATATCATAATTTTTTCTTTTAATGTGGAATAATAGCATCAGAGTTTCAATACACTATTCTATAACATCGTGCCAACCTTGGTTTTGAATGCCAGGAGAAATAACCATGCTACATTGACCTTTTTTTTCATTTATTGGAATAAAATTCTTTCCAATAGTTTATATGATTTTACAGAGAATTAATTTTCACTATATATAAGTTAAATGGTAAGAGTGAAATTATAAAGTTTCAAATATTATTCAACTACTTAAAATTTTATATCTAGAGCATATGTTTTATACTAAATTAACATTACATTTTTCAAATTATCATCAAGGAATTCCTTTGATGATGATTTTTAAGCACTGAAAGAATAGCTGTTGACTTAATTGCATAGCCTAGTTATATTAACATTCCTTTCTTGTCAATTTTAAACAGATAATATACTTAAACAAATCTGCCGAGGAAGCCTATCGACCTCTCGTCTGTGGTAATAGTCCTGCCTTTGTTCCATTCAGGTAATTTGAATATTTTTAAATAATTTTATCATTACACCTTTTTATGATAATGTTTCCTTAATGATTAAAGAACAAAATTGGCAAGCAGAGAGTTCGCTTTTTATCAAATTATTGAGAACCAGGTAATTTCTTTAAAATGTGCACATTTGTTAAAACCTACTTTAAACTTCAATTTGTATGTGTCTTGCTTTTAAAGCTAATATAATTTAGAATGAATTTGAAAAATTATTATATTAAAATTTTGGGGAAAAATGGGTGCATTTTGTTTTTTCCAGCTTCCAAAATATGCAAAAAAGTTTGCAAGTATATTAGATTTGATGTGGACATTACTCGTTTAACTGCTTTGCCGACAAATAGTAAATACATTGATTTAACATTATCTACTAATATAACCTTTTTCCCTACATTGCTAGCTCTGTGCAAATTGCTTTTATTGTGTATGTTTCTATAGCAATTGTCTTGTAATTCAAATATTTCTTAAAATAGTTTATTAAAATTTAACATTTTAAGTGATTAAATTTTTAATTTGCATAAATTAGTCATTAAAAATGCTTGGAAAAGGATATGAAGAATATTGAAAATTAAACATTACATAATTACGAGGGTCATTCTAAAAGTAAAGAACATTTGTCTAGATATTTTTATTTAAGATAATGAAACAAAACTTATTTTAAAACACATATGATACCTTAGCTATTTTTCTACATAGTTGCCCTACAAATTTAAACATTTGTCATAGTGTATCAGAAGCTTTTCTATGCCTTCTGCACACTCAGTTACTGCCAAGTTCTTGAACCAGTCGTTAATGGCCTCTTTCAGTTTGTTGTCACTTCCATAGTGATTCCTGGCCAAAAATCTTTCAATTTTGGGAAAGGATGGGAATCAGAGCCAAGTCCGGGCTATAAGAAGGATGTTCAAAGCCTTAAACTGCTGAAGCAAGTTTTTCATCAATGCAGCAGCGTGTGGACGTGCGTTATCCTGAAGAAGCATAATGCCTCTGGACAACAATCCCCATCATTTGTTTCGACTGAAGCTTCATTCATCACATTACCATAAACCTTGGTTATCTGTCTGTAAATTTCAATAGGGCTTTTTTCACATACAAAAAACATATTACACTACGAACCTCACACTTGGCAGCATCTTTAATTTTGTCACACATTTCAAAGTTCGACTGTAAACAGTAAACAATCGTTGTGGCTCACTGTTAGCATCAGATTGGTGCGAATAAATGGGAAGGTCCATGACGTGGCAATGGAGGTAGTGGGAAAATTGCACAACTTGTCAGATCAAAACGTTCTTTTCTTTCAGAATGACTCTTGTATTTCCAATCACTTATAGTCTCTAGCTGCTTCGTCTCAAATACATAGTTTATGTAAATGACATTAGGAGCAAACTGTAGTTGCCAGTTTGATAAATATGAAAATATCTAATATTAATGTTCAGAAGTTACTGTAGCCATTTGGTTTATCATTTCTAAATTAAATTGCAGTGGAAACAATTTCATACTGTATATAATAAAACTTGTATTTTAATCTGAAATAATTGTTTTGCTAGGTTCTGAATTTACAGATTTTACTTTCCAGCAGTTATAACATGACAGGAAAGTGTTATTGTGTCAGATTTGACCCTATCCATTTTTTCCTTGGCATTTTGAAAAAAGAAAAGAAAAAAGGAATTAAATTTCCATGTGCATGTTGGTGTCATTTTATTTAATATCTCAGTATGGGGTAAAGATTAAGAAATAAAATTTGGCATGGTAACTTGCCTATAAGGGCCATTGATTCTGTTAAATTTTAGAGTACAGAACATGAGAGGAGGAATAGAGGGTCATGTGTCTGTATTAAGTGGGTTTAAACTTAGTGAAAATTTTACAATATTGGCCTTTACAACAGTTTTAAAACTCATCTCAATCCTCAAAATTAAATTTTTTTTTCTTTTTATAATAATAATAATTCTCCTGTGGTCACCACTTGGTTGTGGCCACTATATTAAATACATGCCATATTGTCAGTGTCCATATTCTGGAGTTCCTTACACTGACACACTTATTTAATTTTAGTTTTGCTTTGGTTGCTATGCCTTGAATCTGGTCCAGCATAGTACACAGCCACCGGTGTCAACTGAGTATAACCCATTAAACCCAACATAATAATAATAATAATAATACAGTAATAATAATATACAGTAGAGCGTCGTTTATCCGAATCAATTGAGGACTGGGGTTGTTTGAATAACTTATTTTTTGGATAACCAATTATATACGAAAAAATATATTAACCTATCCCATGTTGAAATTTTTCTCCATTGCATGCTGCTTCGTGTTGAATTTTCGTTGATGTTAAGCCTAACATGAACTTTTTAAAATAATAATTGTGGCTATTGTATCATTAAAAATTATTTCTTTATTTTTTACAAACAAAATAAATATATTGAAAAAAAAAAAAAAAATTATACTTTAGAAGTTAATCTAGTATCAAAAACGTTCAATTCAGCATAACACACAGTCCTCAGAAAAACACCACACAAAAGTGCCAGTGCTGCCAGCTAAAACACACACATCAACAAAAATATTGGAGTAGCCCAAGATATAGCCAAAGATTGCAGCGCCACAGCACTAGCGAAAATTTAAATTTGCCGACTGGAATTCTTTCGGATAAACAACTCTCTACTGTAAAAGTTACTTTTGATAACATATTATAACAGATGATACCCCACATAATTTTAACTTTGAGCTAATATCAGTATTTTTTAACAATTTGTCAAGAAAATTCAATGTAAATCTGTACTAAATTTATAGATGATCATCATTTTAACAGAAATAATAGTAATAAATTTTGTATGGAATTTGCTGAATTATGATACAATAATTTTTTTCTGCTGTATTATTATAATACTCTTTCAAAAACTTTCATTTGTTTTTTCCTACTAAATTTTTCTGCCCTTAAATAAAATTCTAAAGAGGTAACTGTCATTATAGAGATGCATCTGTTGGACCGTCCACTTACAACTTGACACTTCTAGACTGTTTACATGCTGTCCATAAAGTTAGTGTTTTTTCCTTTCCCTTTCTTCATTGCAATAATGACTTTATGATGCATGTTAAATTGTCTTTGTTTCGTTCTAGGCACTGACCTGTGGATTTCTAAACTTCGATCATTTTGATGTTAAAGAGTATGAATATTATGAGGTAAGTTGTTGTTATTGTGTTCTTATATATATATATATGGTATTTTCTTCCTTGATTTTTATTTATTTTTTTATCTCTGATAGTTTTATTGATAAAAATCACTTTTATTCCATATTAAAATTTAAGTTCACATGATAATAAAAAGAAACATATTTTATTATGCTTTTTGACATACAAAAAACAAAATAAGGGTATGCATTGCTTAATAATTAACTGCTTATTTAACAGAAGTTCCATGTGATTATAATGGAGCTGACATTTTGTAGCTGCCTTTACCTTTTCTATGTTTAGATAGATAAATATTTATCATTGTGTTACGTATAGCCTGTACGAGTAGTAGCTAAAACCACAGAGGTTTGCCTGTGTATATTATGACAATTGCTTAATGGAATATTTTTGTAGAATGTCTGTCATTCAGTAGCTTTGTATAGTACCTGTAAAGAACAGTCAACACTGACATTGCTACTTTTAATGTTATTAGGGGCTATTAAATGAAAAGTTATTTCAATCTGTAGAAAGTTTATTGCAAGAGCTCTATTTACACATGATCCCCATATGTGTTAAGGCACTTGTTCTTCTGAGAAACTATATGATTGTCATAATAGAACTTCTTCTTGTTCTGGAATTGAAGCAATCTGTCACAGCAGCCGTTGCTGCTACATCTGATGCATAACTACATCCTTTGAGGTATTTCTTCAGGGAATTGAAAATTTCAAGGGCTAGAATACAGACTTTAAGTAGGGTGATCAAGCACTATCCAAGTAAACTTGGCAAGCAATTCCACTGTTATCCTTGTGATGTGGAAGTGGCAGTGGCACATGCAGACTATAAAAAAGAAGAGCGTTGTACATAAATACAGGTATCTTCTTGCATAATGTATCCTTTGATTAATGCAGTTTATTAATCCCTTGATGCTACTGCATATATCAGAATCACTTTAATGAAATACAGTGATATTTTGATACTAAACCGAACAATCAACACCTGCTAGAACAAATTTTTGGGTAATAACAAATATTTTTATTTTAATTTATCAGTAAAAAATTTTTTTGTGATAAAAATGAGTGCGTAAATTAAAAATAAAATGAAACCTTAGTGCTTCCTTAAGAATTAAGAAAAGTGTCCTCCACTGTTATTGGGTTGCCCATGCTCCAAGTGCTCCAATGTAAGGACATTAGAGCACTTGGAGTGGACATTATTGTAGAGCAAAATGCTTCTGCTGAGCATACCTCTCCACTTATTCTTGAGGTGTGATACACCTGAGAACAGTAATCACCACTTGCAGGTAGTGATTGCTGTTCTCAGACATAACACATCTTGCTGTTCTTCCATTATGATGTCCATCAATGACAGCTCTATTTTCTCTCTTCCAGTGTGTGTTGTGTAGAAAAAACAACTAAGCCTAGGTATATGCACAATTGCTGGTGTCCTGCTACAATGATATTACTTATACTTGTGGTTATCTACCATAAAAGGAACAAGTGTCTCATGTACCATGTAATTCTCAATAATTTGAAAGAAACCTATATTTGATCACATGTTATTTACATCCATTTCTTACATATTACTGTTCACTAACAAAACATGTACATTTTTTTATTTTATAAATTTCTTATTTCCTTGATACATAATCAGTTGTTTTATGTTTTTTGTGTATAAATTGATATTTTTTTAAATGCAAATATGGAAAACTAACAGAAAATTTGGGTTTTTAAATTGACAGAAAGTGGAAAATGGGGACTTAAACTGGATTGTGCCAAATAAATTCATTGCATTTTGTGGTCCTCATCCAAAAAGCAAAATAGAAAATGGTAAGAATATTTTCTTTTATTATCAAAGTTTTGAAAATTATTTCACATACAATAAATTTCAGTAATTGAATTGATGTCAATGAATTATGTGGAACCAAAAATACTTAGAGTTAAGGAAATAACTTATTTTAAAATTTGATGTTTCCTCTCTGCTCTGTAGGAACTAAAAATTTTTTTTTTATATCAAGAAGGGTTTGGTCAAACCCTTCTGAATATTAAGAAACTAGGTGGCCCAACATATCTAGGACTTGCTGACCACAAAAAATTCCTGGGCTGGCTTTACTAGATTACTATCTTAGGTTCTCTATAGTAATAACCAAGATGCCTTAACCATCTCTGCCACAATGGCCAGATGGCCAAGCAGGTAAGGTATCACCTACAGCTATGGGAACCCAGGAATGAATCTGGATGGGTCAAAAAATCCTGGAAATTTTTTGAGGATGGTTTCTTTCAGAATGTTAGGTCCCAACCCTCACCATTTATCTGTCTAATTGTGGGCCTGCCCATAGGATAAAAATATCTTCCATCTGTTATATGAAAAAATATTTTTATGTATATTTTATACATTTAAATCTTGAATTCTGGCAGTATTTCTTTATGCATTATATTTCATTCAGGATATCCGCTGCATGCACCAGAAGCCTATTTTAATTATTTTCGAAAACACAATGTTACGACGGTCATAAGATTAAATAAGAAAATATACGATTCTCATAGATTCTCGGACAATGGCTTTGAGCACAAAGACCTGTTTTTTGTAGATGGCAGTACGCCTAGCGATGCAATAATGAGGGAATTTTTAGAAATTGCTGAAAATTCTAAGGGAGTTATTGCAATTCATTGTAAAGGTTAGTGAACAAAGTACATTGATTTTATTGTAAATAATTTGAAAAGATATATAATACAAGTAATTTTTTTAGCCGGTCTCGGAAGAACGGGCACTCTGATTGCATGCTACATTATTAAACATCATCGATTTACTGCCGCCGAGGCCATAGGATGGATCCGAATCTGTAGACCTGGTTCCATAATTGGTCACCAACAACTCTGGCTTGAAGAGTGAGTTGGATTTGATTAAATATTTTCTTTAAAATTTCAGATAAGTATGGAAATGTAGAATTAGCACACAAGTCTCTTGTGTGCCAATGCTATTAATCTATTAATTTCTAAATGAATATTGCTATAATCAATTTTATGATAATATAACAATAAAACTGTGGAAATATACTTTTCAAGACATGCAAAAATAGTTCAAGAGAAATTTAATTCTAAATGTAATTGTAAGAGGATTTGGAACTAAAATAGTAAGGGAAGTAGGGTAAGCATTCTTGATAATTTTTATGCAAAGCAAATCATAAACATTTGAATGAAATGATGAGAGTATAGACTTTAAAATAATATGATATGATTATTGATTTAAGACTAGCTGTTGTAATTGTTCCCAATTGGAAGACTTGGAGATAAATGATATGGTGTACAAAGGGCATCTTGTGCATATCTGCACTCAGTTTTAATATTTTTAACTTGTATTTTTTTAACAAATGAGTTGCTGTTTAATTCTAGTTTTTTTAATTTGGTGCTCTCTTGAAAAGTGGCTCGTTTATACACTATAAACTTGCTCAAAATAATTGAGCAATTATTTATTGTGATATCATAATGCTGGGTTGCAATTTTTAATCATATTTTTAATTTTTTTAATTTAAAATATATGCTGTCCACCACAAGAGGCTTGCACTGTACATCATACTTTTCCTTTAACACTATAGTCGTTCCAATTGTCTGTCTAACACCTTTCAGGGAAAAAGATTTGAATTGAAATAACATGACTTCTGGTACAACCAGAAGTTCATATATAGTTAATCAGGGCCACCTGCCCATAAGCTTTCAATATCTGGTCTCGTCTTTCATCTATCTAATTCCATTCTTGAGATTAAGGAAAGATGGACGGATGACAGTGGAAATTTATAGATCTGCAATTTGAAAAAATTGCATCCCAAAAACTAATTTTACTCCATCAAAATTTCAACCACTTGGTAATTGTAAAAATCTAGTTAATATTGGAATGTGTTAGTATTTTCTAATAAAACTGCATTCATTCATATAAAAGTATTTTGCTGGAATTTTATTACTATTTTTTGTAAAATTCCAAATTTGCTCAGAAAAAATTGGAAGGAAAGTGAGTTAAGCTATGTCTAAATGTATCTAACAACAATGCTAACATTCTTTTACCACTTGATAAATCAGTTTGATAACTCAATGATTGAGTTAGGTTAGGGGAGAATTGGAAGATAAGATGAAAAAATTAGAAGAAATTAATTTGTCAAGGTGATCTTTCCATCTGTTATTATTGCACATCTGATCTGGAGAGGAACTTTTATGATTTTACTTGTTTTATAAAAAATGTAAAAAGATTCTTTTATAGTAAATATTAATGTATTGTCTATCTATCAGTTTTGATTTACTTACCTGATTCTTGTATATTTTTTGAGTTTTACATATTTGTATTATATTATCTATGTGAGCTTTACTGAATGGGGTGGATGTTCTTATTATTGTTGGTATTGGGAGTAGTCTTCTCTTGCCTTATTTGGCATTACTATGAGTTAATAAAAATAGTCACTCAAGTCAAATTTGGGATCATATAAATTGGGAAATTGTTTTTCATTCCTCACTGCCATTGATTGATTTTAGAATTGGGTCCACTTTTAATTAATATGCATAATTGTGACTTTGTATTAATAAATCATTACTTACTAATTTTAGCAAATAATTTTTTCATCTATAAGATCAAAAAGATCCCTTTACCCACAATTATATAATGTTAAAATGTTTTATGGATTTTTACATTAGGCTAAGAATAGCATATTTCAGATTTAGTCCTGGGATTAGTGAATGTATGGAATTTGATAGATTCAAACTGAAATGTGTTTTCATATTTTTATAATAGATTGCATATATTATTTGCAAGATACAAAGATTAAAGAACAAATCAGCAGGCAAAAGCCTGCTGATTTGTTCTTTAATGAATATAATAAATTCTGTTTTATAACTGTTTGCTTGCTAATTCTTCACGTTTATGGCTGATGTAAATTTGTTATTATTACTAATGCCAGATTTTTTTCTGTTTATAGATTTTTCTGTTTTCCAGATTTTTATAGGACCTGGAAATATAGTTTTGCCATTATGTAAGCAAAACTATATTTCCAGGTCCTATAAACCATAAACTACCTGTCAGTAATAGTACTATAATAGTATTGCTATAAACTTTGTGTCAAACTAAGGTTTGACACAAAGTTTATAGTTAGTTTCTCAATACATCTTGAACCTCTCACCAAATATTACATAAAAAGAAAGTAAAAAAACAGAGTATGGTGTTAAGTTTATTTTTGCTAACGCTTTCAACAAACTTATATTCATTATCGTCATGTTTTTACTGTTTTTTTATGGAATAGTTTCTGAATTTTATATTGTTATGGGGTTGATCATTTAATTTATTGGAAATATGTTCACAGATTTTTCTTTTGTGAAATACTGGAAACAAGTTGGTTTATATCATCTCCATAGCATGTGCCCCTCCTTTTTTGTAAGTGGTTGTCCTTTTCCTATTACCCAAGGGGCCCCAAATTACCTTATCTACAACAGAAAATGCAATACTTCTAGCCTATTCTGCAAATACTCATATAAAATAAATTAATGAATGATCTTTCTTCATTTTTCCATACATGGACGTCCACAGAACATTTTCTGGAGGCAAAACTTAAAGACAAATAATTACATCAATAAATTTTTACTTAATTATTAAATTTTGGGGTGTTACAATTAGATTATAAAATACAGTATTGCATCAGTACAAAAAGACAAAGCATTCCAAGGTTGAGAGTGTAATGTTACATTTCTCAATCAGTTTTATGATTATAGTTTGTGGATATTTGCAGAGGGGCAAAAGGGAGTAACCTTTTGCTCCCTCTGTGGACACCCATGGTCCCATGCAATAATCTTTATGTAAGTATTTTGTTGTGAACATCACACACTGCTAATATTGTGTAGTGTGTTATGTTCACATTGTTATAATGGAAAGGCAATTGTTTCTAATCCAATGCAGATCCACAATTACAACTCTTCAACATCTATTCAAAAATAATTTCAGAAATAACATGATGTGTGGTTATGACAAAGGTGTACTTCAAGCTGACAAATTCTCGGGTGTAGATGACACAATAAGGAAAAAATCTAGCAGTTAGTTTTATATCCCTTGTAGCTTAATTATGAATAATAAATAAGAAAATATTAACTTGTTTTAAGTTTATGATGCAGTTATATTACCAAAATTTGATTCAATTTATAGATGGAAGGTTGCCAAATATTAACCATTATCCATATATTAATTAATAGAATATTAATATGCAACTGTCTTTTCATTAATAAGTATTTATTATTTGAAGAGGAAACGGCTGCTGAATATTAAATATGGGTGTGGATGAATTCTTCGCCCACTAGAAATGCAATATTGTGCACCCACGGTGATTACCTTTATCTGAGTTGGTGAAATTATAGAGATTTTTTTTTTTACTTGAAGTATTTTGTAATTAAGTTTAAATTCTATTTTTTTTATAGAAAACAAACTTATCTGTGGCTCCAAGGAGATATCTACAGAGTAAAAAAAGCTCATCAAATCAATAACAATAGAAAATGGGATAAAAATAAAATGGCCAATGCAAATGCCGCACTGGATGGTTACCTGTGTAATAACGGCAGAGACAGGCGGTTGCCAGGATCCTGCAGTCCACAAAAGGATAAGGTCGGAGTTCGGCGAATTCTGACCCGCGTTGATCGTATACACCTGGGAGACAACCAAGAGTTGAATAATGGGAGATTTCCAAATAAGGTAAAATTTTTATGAATTTAACATTGAAAGTAAAGAATAAATGGTGGAATTCAGTTAAATGAAAATGGCAGTAATAAGTATACATAAAAAATTAATTATTAACTTATTTTTCATCGTGATCTTCGTAAAGTATGGAAAAGAGAGAAAATTGCACACACACTCATCTTAATGAGTGAAGATTGAATTACAGTAGAGCCTCGATTATCCGGCCATCCTAGTCGGCAAATTTCAAATGTTCGCTAGTGATGTGGCGCTACAATATTTGGCTATGTCTTGGCTACTTTAATATTATTTTTACGTGTTTTAGCTGGCAACACTCATTCGACCATGAAAGGGAGCCAGTATTTCAACGAGGTTTAATTTTCTAATTTTTAACGATACAATAGCGACGATTATTACTTTAAAAAATTTTTGTTAGGCTTAACATCGATGAAAATTCAACGCGAAGTAGGTTAATAGCAATGTACTAATATACTGATTACATGGGATATAATAATATACTACACTAATAATGGATTTTTTCATACTTTTCGGTTATCCGACTTTTCAATTATTCGACCAACCCCAGTCCCCAATTGAGTCGGATAATCGAGGCTCTACTGTATTGTTAAATCACTACTACAGGATGTTTAAGCAGTAATGGTGCAGTGAGAAATTTGTAATAATACTAAAGTTATACATATGGCATCACAAACAAGACTAAGTTGTATATCCTGCATTTCCATTTTGTGGTAGATAGTGTTATTGCTTGCTCACAGTCATTCTGTTTCTTAAGGTACTGTTTTTGAAAAACTTCTTTGTCTATCATATAATCTCCCATGAAATCTAGTCCACTAGGTCTCTGGATCCCACTCTCCCAGATTTTGTAGCCTCTGGGGGACATTTCCAGCATTTTCTGTAGAATAAACTGCAATAACATAAAACTTAACTTTTCCATTGCACAGTAAATTTTCAGACATCCTGTATAAGCCAAAAAATTTTTTTCTAATTTCTTTAAATATGTATGGTCTTGTTATTTTGGAGAATGAGACAGTATTTTTTGCTTCCTGCTCATTCTTGGGGTATTGACACTGTAACAATTATTACCATTTTTGTTACTATCTGATTTGATGTGTACCAGATGTTAAACAAAGTATAATTATAAACAGTCTACATTCTTATCAAAATAAACAGTAAGGACATCACAACTAATTTTCAAAATTTTTTTTAACAAGTCTCAAATCTAATTCAAATGCAAAAATTCAAAGATAAAAGAACAACACACACAAGTTTATGCAGACAAAAGTCTGTGTGAGTGTGAATGTGAACCTCATTGGACAAAATAATTTTTCTTTACAAAATTCTTTTCCACATCCTTTGAAAAGCATGTACAGAACTTTTGATGACAATCAGCTAATTGGAGTTAGTCCTTTGAATAGGATAACCTTGATTATGATCAAAATACCAGACTATGTATATGGAACTTAATTCTTTTGCTCGATTGGAGTTCATAAATGTAAAAATTGCATTTGACTGCTTCATTTTATGTTGTTAGGATATGCAGCAGCAGCAGAACAGTGTTAACAATAATCCCGACACTACGGAAGACGGAAGTACACAGGGTGACCGTCTAAACCGCATCAAGGCCCTGAGGAGGCATCCTCGATCCATAACTACCGGGGGAGTCCAGTATGTATATAATTTTGAAAATAGTAACAAAAGTTTAAGAACTAAAGGGTACTCAACCTTTTTCTTCAGTTTAGAGGAACCCAAAGTTCATCGCCGTACTACCTCCCAACCATTCAGGTTACTTCCTTCCACTCTGTCTCCGACTTGTTCTTACATGTCACCGATGAAACCACTGAGAGGAGGAGTGGTTAATCTTGGAAACGTAAAGGCGACAAATGGAAATCACACGAGCAATGGTTCTTCGCGGAGGCCTGTCAGGCAAAGAATCTGCAACAGTAATTCACCTGGAAAAAGGTATACATTTTTGTTGTTTAATTTTTAAATTGAAATGTTTTCAATTAAACAGACACTAAAGTGATTTTCTACTCTTTCTCAATAGTCCAAAAAATTCCAAGTGCAGCTTACCAAGATGATAACCTCTTTGAACTTTCATCAAAGCAGATCTCCAAAATAATTTTTTATAGGAGTCTTCCCCTCGTGCACAGAAATTTATTTAGCTTTTATATTAAGATAGTGGCTATGTATATAAATTTTGTTGTTATCTTTATTTTTAATTAGAGAATAAGAAATATTTATGTAGTATGCTCAGTTTAACTGATTAGATTTTAAGAAAAATGCATTTAACTACAGTCATCATCCCCCAAAGTCAATTTTTAACTGTTTGATGGACTTTTAAAGCATTTTACGACCATTTTTTGATTGAAATTAGATAAATCATAATAGTTTTGTCTTTCGGAAAACAAGCTGCCATACATTTAGTGTTCTTTTTTATGAATTTTATTAGAAAATTTAATAATTTGAGGTAAATAACTTGAAGGATTAACAAACTAATTATAGAATAATATCATTTTTTAAAGACAAATTTTGCATGGTTTGGTTTTATATAAAAAAAAAAACAAAACTTGCACCATTTTTGACAATCAGATGTTAGTGTACAAATTTGTAAATCACACAATACTTTTCACTCTTCTATGAGATTTCTAACTATTGGTCATCTTTCCCACTACCAAACTAAATTGAAATTTTTAAAATACATAAAAATTTCTATAGCATGTGTACAGTTAGTTTTTAACAGAACATATCAAATATTAAAAGTGAAAGACGACCTCCCTTTTTCGTTGTACAACTTTGAATTTTGAAACTCTGCATTTAGTACAAAGATGATTATTCCAGTGATAATTTGATTTTGTCTGTATCAGTAGTGAGTACTGTTTTAGGGATATCTTAAAATTCCGTTCAATCCAGTCATATTTAAATTGAAATTAAAACATTTCTTTTGCTAGGTAGATGTCTTCGTTAATCATAAACCTGCTGAAGTTCTTATGGTGACACTATGGAAACTCAAATTATTGTTTGCAATAATTAGATTATGCAGCATTACTCTGTACAGAATTAAATTACTTCTCAAAACTTTGGCCATTCTTTATTCAAATATAAGAAGTGACCCACTTTAGAACTTTATATAAAGTGAAGTTCTCTTATAACATAGCAAAAGTATAAGTTTCAACTTTGTCTTTACAAAAATTCTTTTAATTACATATATACTGTAGAACTTGCCACTTTCTGGAATGGTTGCCATTTAGTGTTGGAAAATTAATAGAAAATTATGTTAATTACTACTACTTTCTCACACTAAACAAAAATTTTAATATGTAAAATAAAGTTCTTCATTTAAAGGTTGAATACAATGTAGCTATTTTCACAAATAAATTCAGATGGAATAAAGAAAGGCCTAAATTTTGAGCTTAATTTCTATATTTTGTTGACTATCAAGCATACTCCCATTATATAAAGAAGGTTAACATGCTGTACAAGGTATCAATACCATCCATTAATTATAATATAACAATGAAATAAATGATTTAGATGCTTTTATTTCTTAAAACTCTACATATATATGTTAAAACAGAAGAAATATAACACTGTAAATGGTACAAAATGATCTCAGAATGCATTTACATGCCATTTTTAACAATTTCCATGTGGAATCGAATTTTTAAGACCTTTTTTTTTTTTTTGTTCTTACTTTGACAGTGTTTAGCTGCTGTAAGTGATGGCTTTTAGTATCTCATACAATTTTATATTAGTAGGTGAATGTTTTTCATTTTTATCCATACAAATGTTGTCACCTCTTAATTCCATATAAGTCTCTAATGTCCACATTTCACAACCAAGAACCTAGAGTTAGAAGTTAACCAATAAGTGATCGTGTACCAAACACAAAATAGTAGTTGGTCAATTTCTAACTCTCAATCCTTGGTTGTGAATATGGTCATTAATAATTTGTGCACGTATCATAAACCTGTCAGATGAATAAACAGTATCATATCGATCATATTTGCGCAGTTGGCATCCAGAGTGATAGATTTGATGCGTGTTCTTCTCTATATCATGTGACGTCCAGATCTTTCTAAATTAAATGCATGGAAAGATTGGGAAGCGGATTTTTTGACGAATTGTTTAGGCAAAGCCGGATGCCTATTGTATTATATCATACATAAAAGTTTAGTATGTTATTAATTGATCATTGTTGTGTACATAAAAATAAAATGTTAGTTATCAGATGAGTCTGTCGTACGTTAGAAGTTGTTAGACGAGATGATAAAAAGCAAAATATTTATCTAAATTCTTCCATAATAAGGGAAAGTATTTGATAATCTTCCAGTTATCAGTGTAATGAGGGAAATTTTAAGATTTCTTCCCAAATTTGAAAAATAAAACTGCCATCTGCATTCTTTAAGGTTGTCAAAAAGAAATGGTTTCTATATTATTAGAAAGTTTTGTAGGTTGAGCCTGGTTTTGCTCATCCTACTCTTAGGAAATGCCAAAAATGGATGCACACCAGCAACTTTTGACACCATCATTGTCACTGCAGCTGTATAAATCTGTTTATTTGCCTCCGAGTAGGCGGCAAGTGTCAGGAGGCTCATTTTACTCTCTTCAGTAGTATAGAGAGATCATAAGCATCTAAGGAGGCAATGAAATAAATTTATGCCACTGCAACAACAGTTGGATGCTCATGCTCTACTCTACATTATTGAAAACAGTAAAATGAGTATCTCTTGACAGGCTCATTTTATTCCAATAATGTAGAGCAAAGAGCACAAGCATCTAACTTCTGTAGCAGTGGCTTAAATTTATTCCATTTCCTCCAACGTGATGAGACAATAAGTTTGATCTTCAGAACAAACTTGTCACTATCCTCCTTTAGTTGCAAGATAAGACCAGGCTTGACTTATTGCAACAGGTGTGGCAATGATTTATAATGTTGTGCTCCATTTTTATTGTTTACTTCGGCTGTAAATCAAATGGTATGCGTGCAATGTGATCCTCTAAACACTCATACCCAAGAGAACCAGCAGAGCGTATTTCCTTCCAGAAACTGGGCTATCACAAATACAGTAGCTTTAACAGTACAAATATATACATACACACACATTATTTTTTACCTTAATTTTCTTTAATGATTTATATAAAACTTGATTTAAGATATTAATTGTTTAATTATTATTAATTATTAAAATCAAAAAGAGATTTATATTATTATTATTAAAAATACTCACCAATTTTTATTATTATTGTTTTAGTAGCAATTTTTGTTGTTTATTTTGAATTTGTTGAACATATTTTTGTTCATCTTTTGTAAGAGTTTTATCTAAAACTTTAAATGTTTGTAGTTTTAAATTATAACTTATAGAAAGGATTAATATATATAAAAATGTATATTATCTACGGTATATACAGTACACAGACAACGCAGTGTATAAATGTATTTGTAGTAATAAGTCTTCTACAAGAGGGGTCTTCCTGCAAAGAATAGAGGGCAGAAGGACCTCTCTGCAGTCAGATTATGTTAAATTATTATTATCCAAACAGAAGAGATGCTTTCGGAGATTTTTATAAAAGACTAAGAGTTGTATCAAGGGGCTACAATTAATGTGATGACTTATAATTGTGATTAATTAGTAAAACAAGAATTAATTATGATATCATGTAATAATTCCTTTAACATAAATTATGAGAATTTTATTTTTTGTTTAATCATTGTATAAAAAAAAGAATTCATTGTAAATTAATTTGAATTTGAAGGAGAATATGAAAAATTAAAATTCTTAAAAATCTATATTTATCCTTTCTTCTGTCTTTTTGGTATTGTTTTCGGTAAGTGTGTGATTTTTGGAAGCAAGAGGAATGTCCTGGTTGTTGTAATTTTATATTATAACACCATTTTGAAGTGTTAAAATGAGAGAGAACATTTCTACATCTGTTCCCCTATGGTAATTTGGTCTTGTAGAAAAAATTAAATGGATAGATAAGGTAACAAGTAACAAAGTATTAAGTTTTGTTAAGATTATTTAAGGTTTTTATTAAGGTGTACTTAAAGTTGCCAAGAGTAATGAGAAGAGAATATTTGCCAGACTCACTAAGGAAATTGTGGAAAAATTGAAGAAAACTGGAAATGTTGAGAAAAAATGAAAAGTAAAGAGGAAAAGGCAGACTGTAGTGGAATGGGAAGTTACTGAGTAAAGAAATGGATGTAGACAAGAGTACTGAGCATGCAATATGATGGAAAACTTAGAGAAAAATTTGATTTCTGGTTTCCTGTTAGAGTATGCACAAGAAACACAGTATATAGACTATTTACAATTGACAATATACACTACCGTATTATAATATAGTTATAGCCTTTATAATTCTATTATTTTATAGCATTATTTCTTTATACTTATATATCTATAAAACTTAAAGATTAGAACTATAACACTATGTTGGCCGATTTTGTAAAGCTGCGGCCTGGGCTCTGAGGACTGGAGTGTTTTTCTTCTTTCAATGAGTTCTTATGCATGAACTTAGTGGGCGCTCAGTTGTAGCTACTAAACGTAACGTGGAGTGGAATTTTAACTTGTGTTATTGAAGTTATGGAAGATTTTTTCCGATACTGATGACTTCATTATCAGGCCGACAGGCTGTCTTGACTTTTTCAGGTTTTCTTGTGTGTAAATAGTGTCCAATTTCTCATAAAACTCCTCTGGAGAGATCATCCGTGTGTTGCATTGCCTTAACAAAAATTTAATCCTTTGCATTCTCGCATTAAGAGATTTTTTTTCATGTACAATGCGTTTGTCCAGGCCAAAAATGGAGGCGGCTGAATGGTGAAGAACGGAAACTAGTCGTCCCTGAAAAATTCCAAGGTGGGAATCAGTGGTTAAGGTGTCATAGCAATGGCAACTGTACAGTCGACCCCCTATAACACTGTTGATAATTCCTTTTTATATGAATTCCATGTTGTACGAGTCACTTAGATTTTACAAATACGTGTACCGGGCTGTGAACGGCTCACGTATTTGTAAAATCTAAGTGACTCGTACAACATGGAATTCATATAAAACGGAATTATCAACAGTGTTATAGGGGGGTCGACTGTATTGCAGATTATAAAAATTGTTTGGTTTATTCAAAAAAAGGCGGAATTTGAAGGATTTCTTATGACCCATCGGTGGCACTCCGAATTTACTTCTATGGGAGAATAGAGTGGATAAAACTAAATAAACGATGACTATTGTCGTATAAGCCGCCGGTGTCACTTATACATAATTAAGTGTAGGCCACATTGCAACTTTAATTTGGATTACATGTTGATAGAAATTAACAAAGCCACTGACTAAGCTAAATTATAGGACTCAAACGAGTGTTTCTATAATTTGACAGTGAAAGGTGAAGGATGAAAATTGCAGGTGACCAAACCTTGTTTTCAAAATTCATCTTTGCTCCATTGTTTCCGAAATCCATTACAGAAATAAGGCATTTTTCTGTGTATTTCGGTCATTGCATTTATATATTATTTACTGTAATATAAAAATTTATTAAATCCTCCAATCGAGATTTGTTTGTATGCTCGAGACGATGCATATTTCGACAAATTTGACATCACTGCAGTTATTACATTAATTAATAAAACCGAAGAAATGACGCTTTGAAACAATTCAAACTTTTCGATTATTGCAATTTATATTTCTTATGAAAATTTATTAAATATATCACCAAATAATCAATTTTTTTTAAATTTTATTATAAACATTTAAATAAAGACTTACGTAGAATGGTCCACGTAACGCGTGACATATTTGTTATGACCGACAATAGTTTAAAAGTGTTCGATTTTAATTGTCGGTCGCCATCTTGAAGTAGACTGTTTTACGGATTTTCCGATTTTCTCTCACTCATTTTGTCGAAAAAATTGATTTACAAAACTTCAAGAATGTAAGTAATTTCGTATAAAATTAAATACAGAATTTAATACATTACATTAGCATGCATTTCTTCCAACTTAGAAAAAAAATTTTAAATTAAGACTTACTTGTTAGATTAGGACATATAATAAAATTAGAAGTGTGTGACGTAAATAACCAACTTTTTGTTTATGTTTAATCCTTTGCATTCATGAAATGTATTCCTGTATTCCTCGTCCTTTCAGCTAATGGTTCCACGTGCAACTTTTACGCACAATGTTTATCAGTTTTGGAGGAACAATAGTGACATTGGTATTAGTCTAATTAGATTCCATTTACGCAGAAAGTGGTTAGTAAGGAGAGAATTAGTACGAGCCCTGTTGATAAGATCGGCGGGGTGTGTGTGTAGATCTTCGTAAATGGGGTCAGAGGTTTCTTTTTCTAGTCATAGATAGGCTTCCCTTTTATGGTAGGATATCCATATTTGGTTCATTCTTTCTTTCATGTCCTGTTTATTGATGGGGAGGAAATCTTGTGGGGAGATATATGTTTTGTTGATGAAGCTAGGTTTTCTCTTAACAAGTTTGTCTGCTTTTTCGTTGATGCCTACGTGCCCGGGCATATGATGATGATGCTGAGGAAAAGGTTTTGATTCGAGGGGATAGCTGCGAGAATATTGGTAATGATGGAATGAGAGGATTGATTCGGTGTAATCATGCTTTCCAACATGGCTTTAGAGTCTGTACAGATGATGGTCTGTCTAACTTTAACCACAAGGGAGAATGCTTGAAGGATGGCATAGCCCTCGGTCGTGAAGATGCTTGTTTTGGGGTGGAGGGTGTAATGTGCTGAGATGTTCGTTACTTTTGGAACCGTCTGTAGCAATTAGAACTTCATATTTCTGATGATGAATCCATTCGTTGAAATTAGCTTTTGAACCTCTGGGGATAAGGTGGGTTATTGGAAAACTAGACTATTCATGAAGATGAGATGTTTCTTATTATCTTCAGAGCGGTTGTTATACTGGATGCAGCTGTCTTGGATTATATTGTGTTGGCATGTCCAGGAACGAGTCGTTTGGATAGAGGGATTTTTATGAGTGAGATGCCTTCATCTGAGTGGATGATATGAAACATCACACTAAAAAAAACAGTCAACATGATTTTTCTTAGTTTGTACTATATTGTTTGATAATGCGATGGTTGAATCTAGTGGTGATGTTGGGTTTGTTTGCAGTACAGAGTGTGATGATATTGTTGGTGGAGTGGGGGAGGCCTAGGCAAAGTATGAGATATTGGTTCTGTATGGTCTGTAAAGTTTTGTGTTGATGTTTTCTTAGATGAATGATACCGGGAATTATGTAATTGGCTAGACTACCAAAGAACTTTCAGCGATGGTAATTTTTCAGATGGGATTCACATCTTTTGGAGCAGAAAATTTTAAAGATATTTAATAATTTTTGCTTTTAGTAGCTATTTAATTAATATGTTCATTTCAGGTGAGGTTACTGGTGATTTGATGACATTAGACCCCTTTACCCCTTAAGTTTGGAAGTTTTGGGTGACGTTTTTGTGATTGTGGATTGGAATAATGGTGCACTTTTGTGGCTTGATGAAAACATCGTTATGATGGGTCCAGCGAATAATATTTAGAAGGAAGGTATTCGTGAGTTGGTGTAGACCAGCGATTCCCAACCCGGGGTACGCGATAAGTTGTTTAGGAGTACAGAAAAAAGTTATGGCAAAAAAAATATATGTATCACAAATTAATAGTACAGTAAGCGTCGTTTATTCGAATCAATTGGGGACTCGGGTTGTTCGGACAAAAAGCTTATACGACAATAGTGGAAACTCTCGTGAATTAGCATGTACCGTAGTGAGGGAACTAGCGACATCTAGCGGTTTGAGGAGAACACTAACACCGCAGACAGTATGTAAAGTGTAACAAAACTTGCAAAAATGCAACGAAATAAATATTTTATCATCATTTTGTCTTTATTTTATGATCTTAAAACATGAATTATAATTTTATTTAGTAGGAAACGTTGATGGATAGTGATTTAAAGGAAGGAATAATAGCAATGAGTCAGATTTTTAAAATTAAAATCTGAGGTTTTAATTTCATTTTATTAAATTAGAACACATTGAACACCAAAATGTATTATTGC